ATAATAATATACTAAAATTGAACGGAATTAACGAATATCCGGTTTACACTCTCAAAGAAATTATTTTTTCGTTTTTTGGAAACGAAGTAACCTTTCACATAGTATCAAATGATTTCCCGATTTCTCAATCCGGCATATTAGGCAACGACTTTTTTAAACGAACTTCCTCGAAAATAGATTACGCAAAGGGATATTTAGATATATCAGGTATTATTGTACCCTTCTTTTCGCCTGAAACTATTATAGTAGCTCCGCGTTCAGAATCATTATTTTACATAAGAACAAAAAACCCTGAATTAAAAGCTGGATATATCCTGAAATCAAAGATAGCTCATGGAATCTATCTAACAATAAGAGAAACAATAGTAGAAAATGTCTCAGGCAAAGCATACGTAAACGTTATAAGCACGTTGGACGAAGAAGTAGAGGTCCAAGTATCAACTCTGCACCTTAACCCTTTGAATGAATTATTTGATCTCGAGCCGAATGACGAGACTCGAGATAGCGATTTAAATAATGTTCAGATTTGTCACACAGAATCCAACAGCAACACGGATTTTAAGGAAATTAAAGATGAAATTAGGAATAAAAAAGAAGATGCGAAAACATTAAAGAGAGATAATAAAGAAATCATAAATGAAAAAAAACAAAAATAAAATAAAATAAAGAAGGTTAGCGATAGTAATGTCCGAAATACGGACGAAAATAAAATCAAAGAAAAGGATAAAATTGATATTATAAGAGAGAATAAAAAATTAATTAAAAACTCCGATCTAGATATTCGTGGAGAAGAGGGTTTCCAGACCATTCCCGGAGTTCTAGATTCCAAAATCCTTGGAAGGGGAAATTTCCAAACCCCTCCTAAAAATTTTATTAATCCCAAAATCCTTGAAGGGGGAAATTTCCAAACCTCTCCTAAAAGTTCTATTAATTCCAAAATCCCTGGAGGGGAAAATTTCCAAACCCCTCCTGAAAATTCTATTAATTTCAAAATCCTTGAAGGAGGAAATTTCCAAACCTGAAAATCCTATTAATTTCAAAATCCTTGAAGGGGGAAATTACCAAACCCCTTCTAAAATTTTTAAAAATTCTAGAATTGCAGAGGAAAGTTTTTGTACTTCCCTGAATTCTACTCCTGTCAATTGCGAGAAAGGAAATTACCAAACCTCATTACGCGATACAACTCAATCTTATTCAAAGGAGTCGAAAAAAAAAGAACTCGAGAAAACGAAAAATTCAACAGCAAAAATCTTCTTCACACTTATTTCGCTTGCAGCAGTAGACGAATTAAGGGAAGTAACACGGAATTTAATAATTTAAAACTTTCAATTTCGCAAAAATCATTATACAGTTGTAGTAAAAGACAACGAAATAAAATTATAAAAGAGATTTAAAAAATGATCGTTTGCAATTTTAAAAAATGTAGCAATCCTATTAGAGAGCCAATGAATAACTGCAATATCCACGAAAATCCTAATCCGCCAGTTGTCTCCTTTACAGATAATATAAATATTATTAACGATTATGAGAGTGATATAGATGACTTGTAATTTTCTTCGTCTTCTTCCTCTTCTTCCTCTTCTTCCTGGATTGAGGTTGTTTCAGAAAATGAACCATTCAACGAAGAAGAAGACGAAGAAAATGACAAATCATCTATATCACATTTATAATCGTTTTTTTTTTCGTGAACATTTGGCATCTTGTTTTGTAAATAATAATTTAATGCACGCTCAAGGCAATAGTATTACATATTCTTCGTACACATCCCTGTTTTGATAAATTACCGAAAAATGTTAGAACACTTAGGTACATCACGTGCACGTGTTATTACGTTTGATATACAATGAGGAAAATACCATTTTGATCTCGAAGTAGTGATAATTTAAAATCTTCCTAATGTTTCCACAATTAATCAATTGGAATTAGATTTTAATATAGATGGATATAGTTTAGATAAGTCAAGTAGTATTCAGTTATGGCCTATTCAATACAGAATTGTAAATGCAATATACAAAACCAATAGTTGTAGGAATTTATAAAGGTGCAAACAAACCGTATGATCCTAACGTTTTTCTTCAAAAATTTATTGAAGATATTAATAGAATCACGTCTAACGGAGATATTAATTTTCATGGTAATAGAGTGCCGATATGACAGATGTTTTGTAGCTGATGCGCCAGCTCGAGCATTTATTTTAAATTATTATAATCATGTCGTCCCTGTTCCAAATGTAAAGTTTCAGGTACACTTTACAAAAGTCGTTATGTCTTCAACGATATTAATCATTCCCCTCGAACCGATGAGGAATATATACTAGATGCTTAGATGAGGATCATCACAGAAGTAACAGTTCATTAGCAACATTACCAATGAGTATGGTTTCACAAGTTCCTTTTAAGTACATGCACCTTGTATGCTTGGGCGTTATGAAAAAATTTCTGCTTGCATGTATATATAGAAAATTTTCGCGTCTGTTAAAATTGTCATGAAGATCTATGTCTATTTTATGTTCGAGAATGAATTATGATCTTAGAAGATATTGTCCGTCGGAGTTTGCGAGACGCCCTAGATCCCTCAACATGTGTTCTAATTGTAAGTTTAAAGCAACAGAATTTCGTTAATTTTTTATTTATACCGGGCCAATTGTAATGTTTAATCTATTAGAAAGATGATTATATAAGCATTTTTTATTCTTACAAGCAGCGATAAGAATTTTGATATCCAATTCATTATCAAAATTCAAAACGATATTTAAGCTTTGTAGAGCTTGCATTACAAAAATTTATTCTTCAAAGTCCGAATCTGTATGGTCCAGCCTTTAATTTTTATAATGTACACTCATGGACAGGTTGCGACACTTTTTTTTTATTTGGTTACGCACTATTATTTTTCAAATGCGAACCACGATTAGTGTACTATCTTTAGTTTGTGTGTATGTGTGTGTGTGTGCGTGCGCGTGTGCGTGTGCGTGTGTGTATGTGAGTGCGTGCGTGCATGCATGCGCGCACGAAAAATAAAATTATAATTATCACAATTATTGTGACAAAACATTAATTGTTTATTTACATATATATAGGAAAAAAAGTTAATATTTATACATATATATTTCAGAAATTGACTTTATTGAAAATTTTGTTATGTTTAAAATTACGTATAATTAATTGATTTTACCAAAGTTTTCGTACATTTGACTGTTTGCATATGAAACAATCAACTTTGATGACGTGATTCATTGATGTAATTTGTGCTAATTCCATTATAACAATTTCTTCATTTTCAATAACATATTATATGATCTATGTAAATTTATTTTTTTAAACAACAAAACATTTATGTATGGTCAACTTCAAAAAGTTTAAATACAAGAAGCAGAACCCTTTTTGATTAAAAAACAAATCAACAAATTGTCGTGTGACATCTAATAAGACAGAATGCATATATTCAGGTATTACACATGTATGTACCTAAATCAACAAGATTAAGGTTGATATAATTGAATGTCATTTTACGCCTTTTACATGATGTCTATCTAAATTGCATACTTTGTTAGGTTGCTTGCGCATTTTGTAATCATTTCTTAATGTACTATCTTCTTCTAAAGGAATATACGATATAGCTTCCTCCGCCGCCGCCGCGCCGCACCGTGCCGGGCGGCACCAATTGTCTCCGGCGCCGATCAATTCAAGCCAGTCGATTATTTTTCCAAAAATGCAAACAACTCTATAACGCCGTCCTTCTCCCCTCCCCCCCCTCTCTCTCTCTTTCTTTCTCACTCTTTCTCGCTCGCTTTTTTTCTTTCAGGCAAGAATTTTTCAATATTCGCTACACTTCCGTCGGGATGTTTCGCGTATCGATATTCCATTTCGTCGAGAATTGAGCGACCGACGTATGGCATGGTGATAAAGAACGAGGGGTGGCGAGAGGGAGACAGGGGGAGAGGAAAAAGGCCATGGAAAAAGAACTCGCCACGCCATCCGGCTGAAAGATGTAACAAGACCTCATTGTTCATGCACATTTTATATATTACTTGCGGCGCCCTCTTTACGTGTGATTGGCTGTTAGCTAGCGTAAGCGGCGCGAGAAGCGAAGTAGCCAAGATGGCGAATAAAGATTATTATAGGCAAGACGTGCTTTGTGTGCTCTCGTTATTTATCATAAAAAGGTGAAACCCAGCATCATCCGCATATATCAGAAACATTGGTCCTTCGAGCCGGATCTGCTTGGGGTTCGATATACGTCAAGAACGAGGCTCAAGAGGGGCAAACGAAGTCAGGAAGAGATACGAGCGGTCATTCGGACGGCACTCGACGGAACGTCGAATCGTGCTTGCAAGCAAGTGAGCAGAATCATCGGTGCAAGGCAGTTGTGGGCCTTCGCGAAACTTGACTTCATCCTGTCTTGAGTAAGCATCTACAGTCAGAGCATCGAAGCAATAGCGACAGCAGTTAGCGCTATCCAACAACACATAGACGAAAAGCGCGGCATTAACAGTTTGGCCGCCATTGTGCACGTCGGGCCATCCACGCATCACGATACTGCGACACAAGCGTATCGTCGATCGTAAACTAGCAACGGTCAGCGACAAAATCAAACGCTGCCAATCACAAGGAAAATTCGAGAAAAATCAACAAGGCATTTGAGGCACGCGCATACAGTCAAGCGGGCGTGAATTCGAGCGAGAAGAGTTCGAGTTAGCAACGAGCGGAGTCTACGCAGTCGACGTCACTAGTTGGGCCGTGCACGCAACGAGCGGAGTCTGCGCAGTCGACGTCACTAGTTGGGCCGTGCACGCAACGAGCGGAGTCTACGCAGTCGACATCACTGGTGGGGCCGTGAACGCAACAGCGTGGATCGAGACGGCGAGAGGCCAATCGGCATTGAGCAGCACTGTCCTGTGCGGACAACGGGCCGGTGGGTCTTAACCAAGTAAGAAAGTGAGCAATCCGTTTACACTCGTTAACATTATCCTTTATACGTTTCTGTCTGTGTTCGAGGCAATTATGGAGGCTTTAATCAAATCTCGAGGTGTAGTAAAGGGTAAAATCACGTCCTTCAAAACATATCTCGCGAAAACGCTTGCAACAGTTTCGGATCCGTCTACGGCAGTAGACGATATAACAGCGTTAGACATTCGCGAGCGCGTTTATCGGGCGAGGGAAGCATACGAAAAATTTGAGCAGATTCAATCGAGCATTGAGGAGTTAACGGATAAGGAGCAAGAAGCGGCAGATTATCGCGCGAATTTTGAAGAAGAATACTTTAGCGTAATTGTGCAAGCGGAGGCTTTACGTTTGCGTAATACAACAAACATGCACACCGATGCGTCGCGTCCGAGTGCTGAAATTAGTGGGGCTTCTTCTACGCACATGCCTGTAATGAGGGCAACAAATAGTCAAGGCGCGATTAATGCTGTTCCGGGTATTGCAACACAATCAATCATATATAAGCCTCCGGGCATTAGGTTACCAACAATCGAGTTACCGAAGTTCAGTGGTGAAGCATCTGAATGGCTTGCTTTTCGCGATACGTTTGAGTCGTTGATACATAAAAATGAGACAATCGATCCGATACAGAAGTTTCATTACTTAAAGGCGGCACTACAAGAAGGTGCAGCACAAATTATTAAGTCTCTTGAATTTACCGCGGTTAACTACACCGTGGCATGGGAAACTATCTGTAACCGATTTAATAACAAACGATTGCTTACGCATAATCACATTAAAGCCATATTCAATATTAGTTCGATAAAGGAAGAATCGGCAGCTCAGATTCGCGAAACGGTCGATATGCTCAGCAAGCATTTGCGTGCTTTAAATGCGTTAGATCAAGCAACAGAACACTGGGATGCTTTATTAATCTATTTAATATCAACAAAATTAGATAGTATAACGGCTCGGGCTTGGGAAAAGGAGCGTGCTGGAAATGAAATTCCCACGCTGAATGACTTCAAAACATTTCTGAATTCGCGTGCGGATTTATTGGAGACGCTCGAGTTGAACAACAAGTCGGTTAGCAAGGTAGAATCTAAAGCGAAGCAAGCGGACCGGGCAAAGGTCAAGGCACTTCTCGTGCAAAATCAAAGGTGTAGTATGTGTAAGGGAGCGCACAAGTTATCAGATTGCAAACGGTTTCTCGATCTCACTCCTCAGGAGAGAGCAAATCATTTGAGAATCGCGAAATTATGCCTTAACTGCATGAGACCTGGACATTTTATCAAGGATTGTAAGGCAAGTTCATGTAAGCAATGTTCAGGAAAACATAACACTTTGGTACATTTCGAAAAGGCATCTTCAGCGCAGGTATCGCCCGTTGAAGAAGCTAAAACTGCTTCAGTTTTGTGTTCACATAATCAGTGCAATGCACATAGTGTTCTGTTAGCTACAGCATCAGTTGTGGTAACGGATAATCAGGGTAGAGGACACAAGGCTCGCGCAATTCTAGATCCTGGTTCTCAATCTAGTTTCATAACCGCTAGGCTCTGTAAAGAGCTAGGGTTGCAGACATCAAAGATTCACATGACCATTGAAGCCATCAACGGGAAATCATCCCAAATAGAACATAGATGTAGTGTCAGATTGGCAGCACAGTACAATAACTTTCAGTTTGACATTCAATGTCTGGTAATCCCAGAAATCACAGGGCAATTGCCACCTCAGCATATCGATATACAAGGTTTACAAATTCCTACTAATATTAGACTCGCTGATCCTTCGTTTCACATTCCAGGCAATATCGATATTCTCATTGGAGCTGATCATTTTTGGAGCTTGCTTTGCATAGGACAATTGAAAACGGGCGACGGTCGGCTTACCATGCAAAAAACCAAACTGGGCTGGATAGCAGTTGGTCCGTGGAGAGGTGCTGTCTCGAAGTCTATCAAATGCAATCTTAGCAGAGCAGTCGATATTGATAAGAGTCTTACAAAATTTTGGGAAATTGAGGAAATCGAAGGCGAAAGGGCGTGGTCCGAGGAGGAGAAAGATTGTGAAAAGCACTTCTTGGAAAATACATATCGTAACACAGACGGTAGATTCGTTGTAAGCATTCCATTCAAGGAGGATGTTAGCAAACTTGGTGAATCCAAATCAATCGCTTGTAAACGTTTTCTCAGTCTCGAGAGAAAATTGACAAGAAACCCTGTACTCAAGGATCAATACGTTGCCTTTCTAGTAGAATACGAAAGGTTAGGGCACATGTGCAAGGTTTCTGAGGAGGCAACACACAATACTTCGTATTACCTACCACATCATTGCGTCGTTAAGAATGATAGTTCGACCACAAAGGTACGTGTAGTTTTCGATGCGTCAGCCGCAACTGACAATGGTATATCTCTCAACGACTTACAAATGGTAGGTCCCACAATTCAAAATGACTTATTGGCATTGCTAATCAGGTTTAGGGTTCATCCTTACGTTATATTAGCAGATGTACAAAAGATGTACAGGCAGGTGTTGGTCAATCCAGATCAGCGTTCTCTACAGAGAATCATATGGCGTTTTAACGATAAGGATCCTATACAAGTCTTCGAGCTAAACACGCTCATATATGGTACGGCATCAGCGCCATTCTTAGCAACAAGGTGTTTAAAGGAGCTAGCCAATTTGATCGAAAATCGCTTGCCAGAAATAGCCGGAATTATTCGAAAGGATTTTTATGTTGATGATCTGTTGACAGGGGCACAAACAATCGAACAAGCCATTGAAATACGACAGAGCATCTCGCAGGTCTTAGAATCAGCAGGCTTCCCATTGCGAAAATGGGCATCAAATGAGCATGCTATAATCCACGATGTTCCGAAGAAGGATCAGAATCTAGATAGCGTCAACTTTACTAATGACGGCATGACCAAAACATTAGGTACAACATGGCAAGCGCTTTCAGACAGTCTAACATTTACGATCAAAGAGTTAGGTCAACCTAAGGTCACAAAAAGGCAGTTCTTAGCGGAGACAGCACAGATATTTAACCCATTAGGTCTCATTAGTCCATGTATCATTACAGCGAAAATGCTTCTGCAAGAATTATGGTTGCATAAGTTGTCATGGGACGAATCACTTCCACTTGATTTGCATAATAAATGGTTATCTTTCCGCCAACAGGTTCGGAAATTAGATCAAATCAGAGTACCTCGGAACGTCGTAAGCAAAAATCACATAGAGCTGCAACTGCATGGCTTCGCGGATGCGTCACAAAAGGCATATGGCGCATGCATCTATTTACGGTCTCAAGATTCCGAGGGAAATATTCATACAGCATTGTTGTGCGCAAAGAGTAGGGTGGCTCCCCTTAAACAGCAAACGACTCCACGTTTAGAGCTTTGTGCAGCTCTCACCCTCGCGCGTTTGGTCGCCAAGGTCTTTGAATCTCTGGAAGTGGTCTTCGATAAAATTGTTTGTTGGAGCGACTCATCGATAGTCCTCAGCTGGTTAAGGATGCAACCAAATGCATTACAAGTATTTGTGGCAAACCGCATAGCACAAATACAACAGCTAACAGGTTCGTGTGAATGGCGACACGTTCCTACTATAGAGAATCCAGCGGACTGCCTTTCACGTGGTCTATCAGTAGATAAACTAATGCACTCAGAACTTTGGTGGCATGGTCCGTCCTTTCTAGTCAGAGATGAGATCGAATGGCCTACATTGGTCACAACAGAAGTTAACGTACCTGACGTAAAGGGAACGTGCTGCGCAGTTACAGAACGCACAGCAGAATCGTCCATATTCGGAAATACTTCAAGTGCAAAACGTATCATTCGTGTGATAGCCTATTGTAAACGTTTTTTGTATAATTGTAAGCACAAAATGGAGCGGAAAGTGAACGCGCTTTCAGCAGTGGAAATAAGAGAGGCTTTAAAGGCATTAGTTAAGATAGCTCAGCAAGAATGTTTTCCAAACCAGTTGCAAGGCAACAATAAGACGGACATGATTGCGTTAGTTAAGAAGTTAAATTCGCTTAGTCCCTTTATTGATAGTGAAGGGCTTTTACGCGTAGGAGGAAGACTAAAAAACTCAGAATTTTCCAATGATAAAAGGCATCCTATGGTTCTGTTAGCAAAGCATCGATTCACTAGATTAATTCTTATAGAAGAGCATATACGGCTGCTACACGCAGCACCACAAGCATTGTTATCATCCATACGCGAACAGTTTTGGATAATCGGTGGCAGGAATCTCGCAAAAAGGGTTGTTCATGAATGCGTAAAATGCTTCAGGAACAGACCACAGCAAGCACAAGCCACAATGGGCGAATTGCCTAAATCTCGTGTATCGGTAGCCCAACCCTTTCATGCCACGGGGGTTGACTACGGGGGTCCTTTCTTGATAAAGGACAGGAAGGGCAGAGGCTGTAAAACGAACAAGTGTTACATTTGCCTATTCATATGTTTCGCTACAAGGGCGATACATTTAGAGCTGGTCTCCGATTTGACTACGGAATGCTTTATTTCGGCACTCAGACGTTTTGTATCTAGGCGAGGCAAACCGGCTCACGTATACTCAGATAATGGCACCAATTTTGTCGGTGCCAATCGGGAATTAAATGAACTAGCTCGATTCTTATTAAAGGAGCAAACAAGCTTAAGTGAATGCATCAATGACATAGGCATTAGTTGGCACTTTATCCCGGCTTACTCTCCGCATTTCGGAGGTTTGTGGGAAGCTGGAATAAAGTCCACTAAACATCACTTAAAACGTGTTGCAGGCAATTCGTTGCTGACATTTGAAGAATTCTATACCTTGATCACACAGATAGAAGCAGTATTAAATTCGCGACCTTTAACTCCCATGTCGACAGATCCTAATGATCTTATTCCTCTTACTCCCGCTCACTTTCTAATTGGAAAGACTTTAAATTCGGTGGCCGATCCCGATTTGACGCATTTGCCAGAGTCCAGGTTGTCCAGATGGCAGCTGATCCAGAATCTGCAGCAACACTTTTGGAAAAGATGGAGCAAGGAGTATTTGTCGGAGCTACAACAGCGCACAAAATGGAAAAGGCCCTTCCCACAATTGAAGGAAGGCACGATGGTGTTAATCAAGGAAGAGAATCTGCCCCCATTCAAATGGCGTTTGGGGCGCGTAATATCTACTCATCCAGGACGAGACCAGGTAGTTCGAGTAGCTACCGTGAAGACTTCTACGGGCACTGTACACATCACTATCGCGAAACTCTGTCCGCTACCTATTGAAAGCTGTACCTAATGTATTATATGTAAACTCAGTTATATAGCGTTACAGTACCTTCACGTAGTTCATAGACAGTGGTTCATTTAGATTTATAAGCTGTTGTCGAATTATTATGCTATAGTTGTAGTTACGTCGTTTGTTATGTCTATTAAGTAACACTAGAGTCAATGCACCTAGTCATGTTTACCACAGTCATTAATACAGTCCACTCAATGAAACTTTACTTTGATTGAAAGATATTCTTTCAATGCCGGGGGGCATGTTCATGCACATTTTATATATTACTTGCGGCGCCCTCTTTACGTGTGATTGGCTGTTAGCTAGCGTAAGCGGCGCGAGAAGCGAAGTAGCCAAGATGGCGAATAAAGATTATTATAGGCAAGACGTGCTTTGTGTGCTCTCGTTATTTATCATAAAAAGGTGAAACCCAGCATCATCCGCATATATCAGAATCACTCATTGTTTACCTTTACCCTGAGAAACCCACATGATTAAACAAAACAAAATTTTTTGATTGAATTGTTTTGTTTGATTGAATTTGTAATTTGTTTGTATATATGAATAAAAAATTATGTTATCATAAATAAGTAGAATGTTAGAAGAACCAAATTTTTTGCTTGCATGGATTTGTTTATTTTAACCAAATTTTATAGTAGCAATAAAAAGCACATTCATTTAAATAATTGTGTGTGTTGTTTCAACCAAATCGAATAGTTGATTATCAGAAGTCAACATACATGCGCTATCATTGCTGCGCCATAGCTTTAAAAATATGGCGGATGTGCGTGTGCGGGATATTCTGGTCAAACTCCAGTGCGAAAATCTAATTCCTGTTTTTGAAGATAGTAGGAATAATAATCTTTATTTTAAGATTATTAATAAATATGTAATTAATAAATATGTAATTTTAAGAAAGGAAAAATACAATTTAATGTATAACAACTATATTTATGCACTTATTTTTTAGTTGTATCAAAAGAAACATTGAATTAAATAAAATCAATTTCTTTGATTGAATCAACTAAAGACTCTTGTTTGGCAAACGAATGCTTCAGTTGACGCAATAAAATAATTTAGTTAGACAATTTGGTAACATTAACATACAAATTTGGTTTAGTAAACAAAATTTAAATAAGATTGTAATCAAAAATTTTATTTTATACAATTAACAATTTGGTTCACTGAATTTAATTTTTATGTTAATACTACAAAATTTTCCAACTAAATTATTTTATTGCGTCAATCAATGCATTTGTTTGCCCATATCCAAACAAGAGATTTAGTTGATTCAATCAAATTTTATTTCTTTCAACCAAATGGGTTTCTCAGTGTATCGCTGCCCCTTACTTTCGTCATCGTCATTATATCGGATTATCGTCCTCCCTGCCGCTCTAGGTGCACAGAGCGAGAGTGTTTCTTAGGTGCTCTATTCTCGCTGCCGCGCGAGAGTTTATCGGAACGTTTAACGCGCGTCGACGATCGAGCCCGCAGCGAGAAATGCATAAACAAATTACATTTGCATAAGAGTTACAATCCACACGACTTGGAGATGAGGACAGTAGTCAAATGGAGTTGCAGCTAGAAAAAATGTTCCATTTTTCACACCGAATTTTTCATTGAAATCAATCGCAATGACTGACTGCGCGTCTTAATATTTGCAGCGGTGCGAATGTCATTTAAATGTCTCAACGCTTTTATCATTTTGTTTCAATCATGGTAGAAACAAGAGTATGTTCATCCGGTGGACGAATTTAGAA